GGAGGCAGAGGGAGGCTCATAACCGCCATTGTCTCCCTTCTGGAGCCACTCAGCCAGCCCTTAATCAAAGAGCAAGCATTAGTGGCGATTTAGGCCCTGCTAATGGCAGGCAGTTCTTTAGAATCATCTCTGCTACAAAGGCCAGAGCCAAGGATGGGGCTCCAGCCTGCACAGCCTGAGGAATCCTCTTTCTACCCACTCTACTCACTGCACAGCCCAAAGCTCAGCACCACCCCCAGAAACACAGCCTCAGGGTTTCAAGACAGTGACTCAGTTCCCACAGAGCCTCCCCCGACCCCGCAGCAAAGTCCCCTAACCTGTGTGTGTGTTCACCCTAATATTTAGGGCCTGAACTTCAATAGGTTCACAGCTGGTACCTCTATTCCTAGACCAGTGTCTGGTATAGATATGCAATAAATGTGAATAAATGAACTATGAGTTCTATGGCAAGAACACCATTTAAAAATCTATTATTGTAAGCTGGGTGCTGGTAGTAGCTCATGTTTGTCATCCTAGCTACTCAGGAGGCTAAGATATGAGGATCAAGGTTCAAAGCCAACCACAGCAGACAAATCTAAGAGACACATCTACAATTAACCACCAAGAAGATGGAGGTGGAGCTATAACTCAAGTGGTAGAGAACTAGCCTTGAGCAACAATAAATAAATAGATAAATAAACAAATAAAGCTCAAGGACAGCACCAAGACCCTGAGCCCAAGCCCCAATTCCAGCACAAAAAGAAGAAAAAGAACTTTAGGACTGGGGCTATAGCATAAGCAGTAGAGCACCCACCTAGCAAGCTTAAGGCCCTGAGTTCAAATCCCAGGACCACCAAAAAGCTCTTTTAAAGATGTTAAAGGTACAAGGTGCATACAGACACACACATGCAGAAAGAGAGAGAGAAAGAGTCTCTGATCCAAAGACTGAGTCCTACCTCACAGCCCTCACAGGAACTAGTCCTCTAATTTCTTGCTCCTAAGATTTCTAACTCCCAGCTTACTGTGAGGTAATAAACTTGGTGAAGCCACCAGCCTATGGTACTGCATAACAGCTGCCCTGAGAAGTATGTATACCATGTTAACTCAGCTGCCTTGGTCCCTTCCAGCTCACACGGCTCACACGCCTGCCCATCTCCATAGTTTTGTGGGAAATGTTTTCTCTCCTACCCCAAAGATGTCCATGTATAGTCCTGCCCAAAGTGACACACTTCCTGAGTAAGCACAGGTGACAGTTCTCCCTTGCCTGTCTTATTTTCTCGTGTCATCTCTGGGCTCCTGTGGGATGACTTTCTAGAAAGTTAGTCTCCCCTTCCCAACAAAGATGGTGATGCCACACAAGTAGCAGCCATTCTGCAGTGGGCCATAATCATTTTGTTTCGGGAATACTGGTTTAAAACAGCCTTCTGAGCCCACAGCCAGTGGCTCACACTTGTAATCCTTGCTACTCAGAAGGCTAAGATCTGAGGATTGTGATTCAAAGCCAGCCCAGAAAGGAAAGCCCATGAGACTCAGCACCAGCAAAAAAAACTAATAGTAGATGTGTGGCTCAAGGGGTAGAGCGCTAGCTTTAAGCAAAAAAGCTCAGGGACAGTGTCCAGGCCTTGAGTTCAAGCACCAAGACTGGTAATGAGTGCGTGCGCATGTGTGCAAACACACATACGCATCTTTCTGTTTCTGGTTTAAGCATGCTTTACAATAAAGCTCTTCCCTTGGTGGTCTACAGACTCCCCCAGGACAGCAACCATCCGTCACCGGTATGTGCGTCTCCTACATCTTGTACAGAGGGAGCAGTAAATATATGCTGAGTGGGCAACACCAGCATCTGGCACAAATTACTCACCAGGGCCCAAGGACCTCGTAAGGGTTTCAAGAGATCCATGAGCTCACTGAAAATATATTGAGTGCCGAAGACTCTGCGCATGCATGCACGTGCATACATATGCCGCTGTGTAGATTCATATACACAGTGTGCATTTTCCCAGGGAAAGCATTCATGGATATCTTTGAGCAATTAATAGCCATGACTGAGAGCCTGGAGCTAGTGGTTCACACCTGTAATACTAGCTACTCAGGAAGTTGAGATCTGAAGATCATAGTTCAAAGCCAACGCGGGTAGGAAAGTCTGTGAGGTTTTTTTTTTTTTTAATCTCTAATTAACTACCAAAAAAGCCAAACGTGGAACTGTGGCTCAAGTGGTAGAGTCCTGTTCTTAAGCAAAAAAGCTCAGGGATAGTGCCCTGGTCCTGATTGGCCCCCCCAAAAAAGCCATGACTGAAGTAAAACTATGCAAAGTCAAACTTTTTTTTGTTTGCTCATATTAGAGCTTAAACTCAGGGCTTAGGTGTTGTCCTTTACCTTTTTCACCCAAGGGTAGCATTCTACCATGTGAGCCACACCTTCACTTCTGGCTTTTTGGTGATTAATTAGAAATAAGAGTCTTGGGGCTGGGAAGGTGGCTCAGTGGTAGAGTGCTTGCCTTGCATGCATGAGGCCCTGGGTTCCATTCCTCAGCACCACATAAGCAAAAAGAAAAAAGCTGGAAGTGGTGCTGTGGCTCAAGTGGTAGAGCACTAGCCTTGAGCTGAAGAGCTGAGGGACAGCGCCCAGGCCCAGAGTTCAGGCCCCACGACCGGCCCCCCCCAAAAAAAAAGGAAAAGAAAAAAAGAAATAAGAGTCTTACAGACTATTCTATCTGGTCAAGCTTTCAAACAAGACCCTCAGATCTCAGCCTCTTGAGTAGCTAGAATTACAGGTATGAGCCAACAGCACTTGGTCTGAAAGAAAACTTTTTTTTCTTTTTGCCAGTCCTGGGGCTCGAACTCGGGGTCTGGGCATTGTCCCTAAGCTTTTTTTTGTTTTTGCTCAAGGCTAACACTCTACCATTTGAGCCCCAGTGCCACTTCCAGCTTTTTCTGTGTATGTGGTACTGAGGAATGGAACCCAGGGGTTCATGCATGCTAGACAAGCACTCTACCACCGAGCCACCTTCCCAGCACTGAAAGAAACTTTTTTAAGCTTGGCATCCTGGGGTCTGGCCTGTGGAAACCCACTTGGCAGACGGTGCCTGACTATTGCATAAAGAGTTGGGGGTGAGGGTAACCCTTCCAGGCTGGAACACTTATCACTTCCTCCTGCTCTTTGTTTGCAGACAGTCCAGTGGTAGAATTAGAAAGAGTTCATTCTCATCCTCCCAGAGCCCTGTATTCATGTCCCCACTGCATCCATCACTCAGCACCTGTACAGGTGTATGACCCCAGGGTCACCTGACTCTCTCACCCTGTGTAGACAGAGCCACAGAAAACTCAGTGCTTGCCAGGCGCCAGTGGCTCACGTCTATCATCCTGGCTACTCAGGTGGCTGAGATCCGTGGATGGCGGTTCAAAGCCAGCCTGGGCAAGAAAGTCTGTGAGATTTTTACCTCTAACCACCAGAAAATCAGAAGTGGAACTGTGGCTCAAAATGGTAGAGTGCTAGCCTTGAGCATGGAGAGTGGCCAGGCCCTCAGTTCAAGCTCCACAACCGACAAAAAAAGGAGAGGGGGGCAGAGAAAGGAAGCCAGCAAGCTCAGTGTGTGGCCTTGTTTCCATTCCAGGTGCCCAGAGTCCACCTGTAATCCTGTAATTCTAGTTACTCAGTGCCCAAGACCTCATCCTTCCCAAGACCCCACAGCCTTTGGGATTCGCTTTATGTGAGTTTCTTTATATTTTTCCTATATTCGCCGGGCATTGGTAGTTCACACTTGTAATCCTAGCCAATCAGGAGGCTGAGATCTGAGAATCCCAGTTCAAAGGCAGCCCAGCAGGAAAGTCCACAAGATCTGAGACTCTCCAATTAACCAGCAAAAAGCCAAAAGTGCAGCTGTGGCTCAAATGACAGAACTTAAGCAAAAAAAGGCCCTGAGTTCAAGCCCCACTACACGCATGTCTATATACATACACACACACACACACACACACACACACACACACACCTGAAAAATAACAAAAATATCCACAGCAAAGTCCCAATGGGCATAATTCCATGCATGTAAGATGAGTGGGGCCTCATGGATTCCAATCCTTCACAGGAGGCTAAGTGACTTGCCCACAGTGAGCGAGACTAGGGTCCCTGGGTGCCTCCTGCTGGACCCCACTGCTTCCCTTCCCCCATCCGTACCCACCCCGACTCCTGACTACAGGACCTACAGCCATCAGCAACTCAGCTCTACCAATCTCTCCTGGAACTGCCTTGCTTGCCAGGCAGGGCCTTGCTCCGCATATATTCCCTTTACAAGGAGTGTGGCTTCATCACCCAGCAACTCAGCCTGCCTGCCTTCCTCCTTCTGTCTCCGTCCATCTCCCCACACCTCCATCCAGCCAAGCCTGCCAGAACAGCCCCTATGGGCTAGCTCCAATCCAGGCACACATCCAAGTCTCCCCAACCCCATCAGGTCCTAGGACTGCGGCTTCTACCCACCCAGCTAATGTGTTTGTACCAAACCCATGATTCCTTTTTTTTTGTCTTGGACTCAAATTCTTTTTTTTTTTCTTTTTTTTTTGGGGGTCCGGTTGTGGGGCCTGAACTCTGGGCCTGGGCGCTGTCCCTCAGCTCTTCAGCTCAAGGCTAGCGCTCTACCACTTGAGCCACAGCGCCACTTCCAGCTTTTTTCTTTTTGCTTATGTGGTGCTGAGGAATCGAACTCAGAGCCTCATGCATGCAAGGCAAGCGCTCTACCATTGAGCCACCTTCCCAGCCCCTTGGATTCAAATTCTTAATTTGATGCTTTCACTCATTGGCTGGTGCTCTACCACCTGAGCCACGCCTCCAACCCCAAACCCATGATTCCAACTGAGCACAGGAAGAGCAGAGACATCTGGGGTGAGCTGAGGCCTGCTGGAATTATATCACTTGCACCCTATTCTACCTCTTCCATTCCCATTGCCCTTCCCCCCTCCCCCCATCTCCCACCCCTCCTTCCCCTCCCTCCCCCTCGCCAAAAGCTGGGACAAGCCCCTACATACGAATGCAGAAGTCTCCATTCTCATAGTAGCCCGGGCAGCACTGGGACCGCCGCCGGTACATGGTCCGAAGCCCGCGCCGATATGCTGTCTTATAGCTTATCCTACAGACACAAGGGAGAGAGGCACTTGAAAATATTGAAAAATCAATCTGTCCCGTTTAGAATGATATTTGTGTTAAGCTCTATCGAGGATGCCATTCAATAATTACTTGAAAATGCATGGCGCCTTTGAATTTGGAGGACCACAATAAAGAAAAATCAATGTGGGCTGCTGTGACACAGAATGTATTACCCAACGAGGGGGTTGAGAAATCTGCTGACTTCCAATCTCTTCCAAGATAGAAGGGTTCTGGGAGATTCCAGCTGGGGTAAGTAACATAGTGGGGTGAGCGCTATGGGCTTCAGCCTGTCCTTAGAATGGCCAAGGTGTGGGGTAGAGAGCTCTGTGCTCACCCCTGCTATTTCCCACCAAGATGCCACTTCCAGTCTGGGGTGTTAGCTGCCCACTTGAAGATGGGGTACAGCGACAGGAAGAGAATCTCTGAGTCGATGTGATCCTAGAGTAATCTTCCACTTACCAAAAATAATGGCTTCTGCCAGGCACTGGTGACTCACACCTGTAATCCTAGCTACTCAGGAGGCTGAGATTTGAAGATCCCTGATTAAAGCCAGCCCAGGCAGGAAAGCCCATGAGACTCTTATCTCCAATTAACCTCCAGAAAACCAGAAGTGGTGCTATGGCTTAAAGCAGTAGAGTGCTAACCTTGAACAAAAGAGGTCAGAAACAGCATCCAGGCCTCAAGTTCAAGTCCCATAACTGACAAAAAAAAAAAAAGAAAAAGAAAAAAGAAAAAGTTCTCCTAGAAATCTCCACTGGTATGCTCTGTGGATTCCATTTTCTTTTCTTTTTTTTTTTTTTGGGGGGGGGAGGGTCCGGTCGTGGGGCCTGAACTCTGGGCCTGGGCGCTGTACCTTAGCTTCAGCTCAAGGCTAGCGCTCTACACTTGAGCCACAACGCCACTTCTGGCTTTTTTCTCTTTTGCTCATGTGGTGCTGAGGAATCGAACCCAGGGCCTCATGCATGCAAGGCAAGCGCTCTACCACTGAGCCAACTTCCCAGCCCATAATCCTCTGTCTTGAAGGCAAAACTCTTTCTTTCCACTCACCCAACACACCAGCTCTGTGGCCCCTTCACAGAGAGAGCAGCTTGGGCCCTGAGGGACTGCACCTGCTTCCCAGAGAAGGGGGAAATTGGTGCTATGTGTGATGCTGTCAAGGAAGCGAAGGTCATTCTACTTCATCCAAAGCCCGTGATGGGAGGTAGGCTGGCTGGGCTGAGATGCTATTTCCTGTGCACAGGAAGGCAGCCCCAGCAGTTCACGGGGGAGTCTATTAGCCTCTCCCAGGTGAAGAATGACTCTGAGTTGACATGGAGGTTATCTGTCCATTCTCCATGCAACACAGGATGGACCCCAAGTGTCCCAAGCGGGGGAGGTAGGCTTTGCATCCCAAGCATCTTTCAAAAGAGAGATGGTACCCGCCCTGCTCTGGCTCGCCCAGTCTTGTTCCCCACCCCGGACCCCAAGTACAAGAAGCAGAAGGAGGCTGGGTGGGGCCAGGTCTGCTCTAGGGAGAAAGATGCTGAAAAAAAGCTAGTCCACCCGCGGCTGACGGATGGTGGTGCTGTCAGCAATGCTCTCCCTGGGTCATCAAGAAAGTGACACTGACTCAATAATTTAGTCCAATAATTCATGTTCCAGGAATACAGTGTATTTTAATAAGCAGCCCAGGCACTCTCCCAATCCAGGGATGATGGACGGCAGCTGGCACCTCCAAAAAACAATGTAGTCATACCTCAGAAACAAACTGCACACGGGCACGGAGATGCCAGGATGCCGGGGCAGAGAGAAGCAGCATCCTCATTTCTATTTATTTCTTTATTTTTGGCGCCAGTACTAGGGTTTGAACTAAGGACCTGGGAACTGTCCTGTAGCTTTTTTTATTTATTTATTTTTTTTTTTTTGCTTATGTGGTGCTGAGGAATCGAACCCAGGGCTTGCAAGGCAAGCGCTCTACCACCGAGCCACCTTCCCAGTCCCCCGTAGCTTTTTTGCTCAAGGCTAGCACTCTACCACTTGAGCCACAGCTCCACTTCTGGTTTTCTGGTAGTTAATTGGAGATTAGAGTCTCACTGACTCTCCTACCCAGGCTGGCTTTGCACTATGATCCTCAGATCTCAGCCTCCTAAGCAGCTAGGATTACAAGCATAAGCTACCCATGTTTGGCAGCATTCCTATTTACCGCCATCACTAGCCAGGGACACAGGCAAGTAACACTGGCAAAAACAGGGGAGAGGAGAAGGGAATATCTGGTCCCACCTCTGCTCTTCACCAGGGGAAGAGAAGGAGGATGAAATGGCTGAGTAGCTCTTCCAAGAACAACTATGAAAACATGGAGCAAAATACAAACTGTAATTCGCTCAGGCAGCAGAGAAGGAATTACCATGGACAGGTAGTAGGGAGAAGTAAGTATTTAAAAGAAGGGATTGGCCCTGACAGACTTACCCAACAACACCCTGGGTAGATGAAATTCAGAGAAAACATAAGCAAGCTGTGCTGGTAGCCCATACTATTCTGGGCTACCAGAATATTCCCAGCTATTCTGGAAGGCTAAGATCTGAGAATCACAATTCAAAGCCAGCCCAGACAGAAAAGTCTGTGAAATTCTTATATTGAATGAACAAGCAAAAAGCCAGATATGGAGTTGTGGCTCAAGTGGTGGAGCATCAGACTTGGGTGAGAACACGAGGTCCTGAATTCAACTCCTAGTAGTGGCGCGCGCACACACACACACACACACACACACCTGAAAAATAACAAAAATATCCACAGCAAAGTCCCAATGGGCATAATTCCATGCATGTAAGATGAGTGGGGCCTCATGGATTCCAATCCTTCACAGGAGGCTAAGTGACTTGCCCACAGTGAGCGAGACTAGGGTCCCTGGGTGCCTCCTGCTGGACCCCACTGCTTCCCTTCCCCCATCCGTACCCACCCCGACTCCTGACTACAGGACCTACAGCCATCAGCAACTCAGCTCTACCAATCTCTCCTGGAACTGCCTTGCTTGCCAGGCAGGGCCTTGCTCCGCATATATTCCCTTTACAAGGAGTGTGGCTTCATCACCCAGCAACTCAGCCTGCCTGCCTTCCTCCTTCTGTCTCCGTCCATCTCCCCACACCTCCATCCAGCCAAGCCTGCCAGAACAGCCCCTATGGGCTAGCTCCAATCCAGGCACACATCCAAGTCTCCCCAACCCCATCAGGTCCTAGGACTGCGGCTTCTACCCACCCAGCTAATGTGTTTGTACCAAACCCATGATTCCTTTTTTTTTGTCTTGGACTCAAATTCTTTTTTTTT